GGAGGGGGCGAATCCCTGCAAGGGAAAAAGTGTCTCAAGCCGCAAGAAAAAGGAAGCGACTGCTAACGAGTTATTGTTGATTGGGCGAAGTTCAATTAGAGAAACACTACACTACTTGCTGACCCGCTGCTGTGTCTTAAAGGGCCGGACCATAATAACTAATTGGACGTGGGGAATAGGAGGAGTCTGTTGCTGCAGAGAACGATGCCCTGAAACGTGAATGCATCTGTTTCCCTCTGCTGGTCTGTTCTTCTAGAAAGGGACAGTTAATGGCCATTAAAATACTTCCACCAGCACCTTTGCATTATGGAAAAGTTTGAAGGAACATCGAGCCAACAGTGATCTCCACCCGTGGTATTCATCCACTCATTTTCGTGCTTATTACGCATTAAACATTGTGCATAAATGTGCGCATTAGGCACGGTGTTGCACGAGAATTTGGCACGCAATAGATTAGTACATTTACGGATGTGATTTTAAAGTCTATTGAAATATTTGCCTGCAGGTAGACAGAAGCTGTCCACAGTAACCCACTGCTCAAAATGACAGGTGATGGATTTTTTCCTCATGACGACAGGAACCACGCTTCTGATCTGAATGTGAGGAAAAATCCGTGAAGTGACAGCGGGAAGGCTCCTATTTATTTATCTCTTTAAATATTACTTGATACAGTTCCTGGAGATATTAAAATATTCTGGACTAAAGCCACCAATGTTTAACATTTTGAAGACAAATGAAAGAAATGCCAAACATGTTTTAAATTGAACGTGTTTCTATTGTTTGCTTTTGCTCCCGCCGTTTATTTCCTCTTTTCTTTCAGTTAAATAAGCCCTGCTTCAGCATGGCCCTGCAGGTTAAAACCAAGGGTTACACTGAAATATGCAGCAGTAGTGTGACATAAGCTGTTAATAAAGGTGACGCCGTGCTGTGGCTCAGTCTGAGGACGGTAAATGTGACTTTTACTGACGAAGGCTTAGGTTGTAAAGAGAAAAAACGGATTAGAGGGAGAAAACGTGGACGATGTGGACGCCGGGCGGTGCAGCAGGTAGGCTCCGTCTCTGCAGAGGCAACACCTTGTTGTTTTGGTCAAATGTAAGATGTTGCTGTTGTCTCCACTTCAGCTCTTTATTCGTTTTAATGCTGTTTAGAGATGAATATAAAACCTGTGGGCAGAACGAAATACCAATATTTAAATTATAACAATAAAAAGAAATAGGTGGAATTTTCGGTTTTAAGTGTTCAAAATAAATACAATCAAAATATCATCACCTTAATTAAAACCAACAAATAAATATTTCCTTACACACAAAAAATGAATAAAGTAACCAGAGTTTATTTAGCAGAGGAATGTTAGCCTAATGTAGATGTGCAAAGTGCTGATCCAGCTCTGAGACAGTGCGGGAGAAATGGTCGTTGTGACCCATTTGGATGACGCCTGCCTCCCAGGAAGCCACTGCGGAGTGTTGTGCCAACAGCAGCATATGGTGACATCGGTTTAGGGACAGAGTTATAAAACAGCAGGAAATTCTATTAGCTGCCTTGGAGGTCCACCCTTTGTGGCTCCTTTGAATATGTATTTCTTCATAACAAGAAGGAGTTGATGGGGTAAAAAGTCTAGCCGAGAACTGCTGTTGGTCTGAGGACAGGCCAGGCTGTGATAGTGGGACTGGGATTTACTTTGACACGCTTAGATTTTAATTCAACATTAGTTAGAAATATAACAGGGGTTACAGTGGTTTCGTGCTTTTTCGTTTCTTTTTTCACACTTTCCATAGCAAAGAAAAGAGACGACTTTAGAAATGAAAATAAAAAGAAACTGCAGATTAGTTTTGATTAAATAAAAAAAACATTTTCTTTTTGTTTGACCAGATGTCTGATCCAAACCTTAATCTTATGACTATTTGGATATTTTTGTTTTATTTCGTTTTTCTACATGGAGGCCTATGAAACCTTGTATTGTGTGTGGTTATGAGAAGTAGTAAACACGTGTGCTTCCTTTTATTGCCCAGATACAGGCCTAATGATCAAAACGACAAACCTGCGCCGGACTCTGTAGACATCAGACCTGGAGCTGCTGTAAAAGCCCCAGCATCTCCCAAACAGTGGTCCAGTGGGCATTGGGGTGTGAAGTGAAGCTCATCCGCAAGTTTTTGTTTTTTTAAATTCCTAATTCAAACGTTAATTAGAAGCGGGGCAGCTGACATCATCAATCATCAGATCTTGGGGGATTTAATTGGATGATTAGCTTCGTTTTTTACCTCCAATCAGTACCATGGCTTTGACTCCATATAGTAGTGTTGCATTCGTTCTCTTTCATTTCCAAACCACTGGTATCCTATTAATATCCAGAAGGGCCAAATATATAATGTTCGTGTCATGGTGTAGCTCGATAAAATCCAAGCAGTGGGAGACTCCCACCGGTAAAGGTCAGCCCTTCTGTCATTAATCACCAAATTAATTCACCGCGGTCCGGAGCGAATATCATGCTCAAAGTATCAAATTCTGCCTCCATCGGAGACTCAGAGAAGGTGATGACAAATGCAGCAACTGCAGAAATAATCCTGAAAATGTCATTTGTTACAGTGTTGTAACGCGTTATCACTTATCACCGCTTTTATTCTGAATTTTCCTTAACTAGTATTTTTAATATTATCACTGCTTTCCATGCATTTAATTGATTTCAATTGGCTCAAAGGTCTGACACTGCTCAGCACAAATATTTCTATATAAAACAATCTGCAGGAAACATACTATGTGATTAGTCCTGCACATTGAACATCGAGTTGGGCGACACCAAATTCTTATAGGACATTTACAGACATTCATTCATTTTCTACCGCTGAGTCCCCGAACGGGGTCACGGGGGCGAAGGCGGGGTACACCCTGGACAGGTCGCCAATCCATCGCAGCATTCACAGACAAGTAACAATAAATTATAAAGACACAACCCTTAAAAAATAGAAATGACAAATATATACAGGAATAGTATGAAAATGACCAGTCGTGTGATAAAACTATAATGAAGGAGAAGGTCACAGGATCAAGTAGCACAGATATTTTCAGCCCCTTTCAACGAGCCTATATACATTTGGGATTATTTTTGAAACCTTATGATTTTGTTCTCACAGAGCAGTGTGTGTATTATTGCTGAGGCCCTACCGGCTGCGCCTTTGTCCCTGCTGCTGTTGCAGAGGCAGATCTCAGCGCAGCGTGTCGTCTTTTATTACGAAACAAAACAGCTGAAAGCGCCTGTAGTAGAACACGATACAGGAGAAGGCCGCTCGGGGAGCTGTGGGTGTGTTTGGTTCCACTCTTAACCGGACTGTTTTCACTGTAAAACACACTGCGGCTGGTGTGTGTGTGTTGATAAGGCTGCACGGCTGATCCCACATGGCTCGTGTGTTGGGCAGTGTGCACCTCTTTTAAATTATTTTTACAGCGTCAGTCGTCTAATTAAAACGTAAAATATATGTGGATTGAATGAACAAAATCACATTAGCATCATTTTGTAGACCTTTTAAACTGATAATCGAGTGAAATATTTTAAAAAGATACATTTATTTCTTTTTAGTCTACCTGCGTAATGATGAGGACACAGCGTCCTTCACAGGCCTCTCATCTCGCCTGCACTGGCCTGTGCGTGGACGTGTGTGTGGACGTGCGCATCACCGTGTCTAGTATCGGATTATGGAGTGTGGGTGTTGTGGTGTCACTTGTGGAAGTGGTTCTTTGCGAAGGAGGCTCAGTCTGTGTAGGTGTTGATCTTCACTGCAGCTCCCCTCCTTTTGGGGGGGATGCCTCATCCACGCAGTGCCATCGTGAGTTCTCATTGGCCAGGGCGCTCCATTACATCATTACCCTCAGTGTTCCTTAGTGTGAGTGGCTCCTGTACTTTGGTTTTTCTATGTTATGTCAAAAGCTGGTGATTGGATTTCTGAAGAGAGAGAGGGGATGGAACAATTACTGGTGATTGACAGGATGTTATTGTTTGATCAGTATCAGACATCAAACTAGGTCCTTAGAGGGACTACTGTGCCTGCCGCTACCACAATCTTTATTCTTTTTGTTTTATATTTGATTTCTGTAATAAAATATAGCCTGCTGTACAACATCCAAACTAGACTCTCAAGCTTTGGAACGTTGGTGCTGAAACCTTTCGCTACCAAACTGATACTGGGGCTGCAGCTGTTATTTTCATTATTGATTCATCAGTTCATCATTTACCTGGTCAACACAGTTTTAGAAAGTAGTGAAACTGCCTATTCTAATTTTATAGAGCCCTAAGGTGACACATTTAAAGTGCCCAAAAGCTGAAGAAATGATAATATATTTAAATGACAAAGGAAAGGCAGTAAATCGCCTCATTCAAGAAGCTGGAACCAGTGAATGTTTCACATTTGTCTTAAAGTGCCTGAAGTAATTAATTTGTTAAAGAATATGCTATTGATTAACTGTTGAGTATCTGTGTAATTATGACAGCAACTCTTTATACACACGGCCTGTACAAATCACGGTGGCTCTCTTGCCTTTGTATATAGAGTGAAGTATATGCTGAGGACACTCCTGTATATTCTTATTCTGCCTTAATAGCACTTCAAATATAATAAAATGAAACATAACATTTGGTTTTATTAATGGGTGTTGATGGGTGTGTGTAGACTAAACCTACCGTTTTATGGTGTGCATTGCATTCTGGGACATACACTGAAAAGGAAAATAAATAATTGGAAGAACATCCACTGTTAGGTGGAACAGCAGTTAGAATTGTAATAAAAAGTAAAAAACCCTTGATTTTAAACTTGCCAGTGTCCACTTTTTGATATCTGTCGCCACACACCTTTCTACAATGTGGTAAACTTGGGTCCTTCCATG